TGGAACCTGCCAATCTGCATCTGAGAAACATTCAATGTGAGAGTGACTATGATTGGTATATAATATATCACGTCCAGGGGCTCTTTTAAATAACACAAGATCTGCTCCAAAGCCGCCCAATGATGAACTGTTGGGGAGGCCATAAACTGACTGACAACACTTACTGAAATGCAATATCTGGACGAGTCACGTAAGATAGTTCAACTTCCCGACCAATCTTCTAATTTTCAGGATCTCCAAATAGTTCACCATCCTTCGTAAGCTGCACATTAGGAACCATCGGAACACTACAGGCTTTGCCCCCAATTTCCCTGTCTCAATTAATAAGTCGAGCACATATTCCTCTGAGAGAGGTATATACTCTTTTGCTCCTTGTAACTTCAACCCCTAAGAAAATTAATATCCCTAAGTCTTTTGTGTGGAACTGGGTATGGAGAAAAGACTAAGAGGTGAGCCCACACTGTCACTCCCAGTAATAAATATCATCCACATACACAACTAGAAGATGATGCCAGTTTCAGACCGTTTGTAGAAAACAGAATGGTCAGTTTTACATTTCAGCATACCAAACTCTCAACAGCCTGACTAAACTTTCCAAACCAAGCACGAGGACTCTGTTTTAAACCATACAGAGATTTGCGAAGATAACATACTTTCCCATACTCCCCCTGAGCAACAAACCAAAGGTTGCTACTATACCTCTTCCTGAAGATCGCCGTGAAGGAAAGCACTTGATGTCTAGCTGATGCAAAGGCCAATCATAAGTAGCTGCCATAGAGATAAACAGCCGAATAGAGGTAAACTTGCCACAGGGGAAAAGTATCAGATAATCAACTCCGTAAGTCTGGCCTATCCTTTAGCAACCAGACGAGCTTTTGTCGAGCAACTGACCCATCTGGATTAACTTTAACTGTAAACACCCATTTGCATCCAATTGCCTATTTCCCTGAAGGTAAATCTACCAATTTCCAAGTACCATCGTCATCTAAGGCATTCATTTCCTCTATCATTGCATTACGCCAACCAGGATGAGAAAGGGCTTCATGAACAGTTTTAGGGATAGTAATAGAATCAAGGGAAGCAATAAAGGAACATGATGAGTGTGATAAATGATCATAAGAAACACAAGAAGAAACAGGATAGTACACTGTCGTTTACCTTTTCGCAATGCATAGGAGATCATCACTTGAAACTAGATCGGATGACTAAGAAGTTGGTGCGGACATGAAACGGGAGGAGGTGGACGACGAGAGTAAACTTTGACAGGAGCAGGAGCAGGAGCAGGATCAGGATCAGAGATAGGAGCCGATGTAGGAATCGTAGAAATAGTGACGGATCAGAGCAGATGCTGGTTCAGATATTGGTGTAGGGGAAGTGAAGGTATAAACTAACAAATCATCATTATCACATCCTTCGGACGATCTGCAGAGAAGAGGGAAAGTATGGTGTGTCTTCTAGAAAGGTAACATCAATGGAAACAAGATACTTATTAAGACTTGGACAATAACACCGATACTTCTGAAGTCGAGAATAACCAAGAAAGACACATTTTAATGAACTTGGGATCTAATTTAGTGACTGATGGGTCGAACATCCCGAACAAAGCAAGTGCTACCAAATACCCTAGGTTCAAGAGGAAATAGCTTGTTAGGAAAAAGAATACTGTACGGGGTCTCACCATGAAGGACAGAAGATGGCATGCGGTTAATCAAAAAACAGGCGATGGAAACGGCATCAGCCCAGAATGGTTTAGGACCATCATCGGAATAATAAGGCTCTTGCAGTTTCAGAAAGATGTTGTTTTCCGTTCTGCTATTCCGTTTTGGAGATGGAGTATCAACACATGAAGTTTGATGAAGAATGCCATTCTGGGTCATGTAATTTTGAAAAGAAACTGACAGATATTCTTTGGCATTATCACTGCGCAATGTATGAATATAAACATTGAATTGAGTTTTAATCTCAGTACAAAAAGCACAGAAAAGAAACAAATCAGAACGATTTCATTAAGATAAACCAGTCATACGAGAGTAATCGTCCACAAAGTAACAAAATATCTAAAACAGTTTTAGACAGAACTGGACAAGGACCCCAAACTAGAGTGAACTAACTCAAAGGGAGAATTAGCTCTTTTATTGACTCTAGGACTAAAACTGACACGATGAGTTTAGCAAACTGACATGACTCACACTCTAGTAGACACTTTATAAACGAGGACACAATCTCTTCAATGAAGGAAGAGATGGATGGCCCAAACGACAATGTGCTTGAAACGGGGATGCAACACTAGAACAAGCGACAGGTGGAGATTTTGGTCTGTCGAGAATGTATAAACCTCCAGATTCATGTCCTTTACCAATAATCTTCTTCGTCGTAAGATCCTGAAACAAGCAACAAATCGGGAAAGAATAAAACCAACAGTTAAGAGCACGAGTAAGTTGGCTAACAGAAATCAAATTGAAAGAAAAATCTGGTAATGTAAGACATTTGACAAGGGAAGCTGTGGATAGGGGTAACTGTGCCAGACCAAGAACGTAGGATGGTGACCCATCTGCTAAAGTCACATTCGAAAGGGTTTTTGATTGATAAGAGCAAAGAGACTAGGATTACCTGACATGTGATCTGTTGCACCAGAGTCAATGACGAATTTGGAGGATGAGGAAAGGAGACATGTATGTGCTACCTGAGTCAGCCATAGCCGTGACAGGAGTAGTGAAGCCTTTAATGATTCCTGGTACAATGAAAACTTGGCAAATTCATCTACAGAGATAAGAACTGACTGATCTGAAGTATCATTGGTGGATGCAACATGGGCAGAGGATTTCTTCTATTTCTGTTATGAAGCTTTCTACAATCACGCTTCATGTGTCCTGGCTTATGGCAATAATGACACACAATTCCTCCCATATTACTATTTGACCCTCCTCCTTTGTTGCCACTTCCAAATTGTGATCTTCCGATTCATAGTCATTCTTTTGATTGACGAGAGCACTACTAAACTGAACCGGGGGGGTACCTTCTGTGCGAAGTACCCTACTAAAGAAATCCTGCAATGAAGAGATCTCTGGACTGGCTAGAACCTGAGATTTAGCAGTCTCAAATTCAGAAGGAAGACCTGCAAGAAAACATGACTGCCATTTGTCCCGTTGTTTTGTGGAACTTTGACATCAGCACTGAAGGGTAACAACATGTTCAACACTTCTAAGTCTTCTTAAACTCCATAAAATAAGTGTAAGTGACTTATCTTGTTTCTTTGCACGGTGAAATGCCTTACACACTTCATAAATCTGAGAAACATTCCTTTTCCAGAATACAGAAACTCAAATAATCCATCAGTTCTTAATAAAACACAATGATTAATTAGGCCAAGTACCTCACCGTCAATAGAGTTCCGGATTTGTAGAATCAATCGAGCATCATCCCGGAGCCATGTCTTTTTCGAATCATCCTCAGGTGGATCATCAGTCATATGATCATCTTTATCATACTCGCAAATACAGTATATAGTTTACGCCAATCATGGTAATTAGTTATACCAATGAGCTTATGTTCTGTAATTTTCGACATCGTCGGTATCTTCCATTACTGGTTTTGTATCAGACATGTCTTAAACAGATGTAATCCCAATGCACACCACCAAACGGTTAAAACAAAGCAATAAATTAAATTCAGTGACACACAAATCAATCAACATCACCACCAACCAGAGGCCACAGCAAGCAAAAAGACCAAAAACCAAACGAAAACGAAGTGCCGAAAGATCAAACTTCCAAACAAAGAATAGCAATAAACCAGTAAGAGATTACCCAATCCAGCATGAAAGTGCGTTAAAAGTACGACGAAGCAGACGAAGAGAATCAGAGGAGAAGTCTGTTGTGCACGCGCTCTCACGCGCCGGCGCGGTGAGACTGTTACAGGAGTTTCGGGTGGCGCGTGGAGCTCACGCGCGGTGATTCTGATGGCCGGAACTCAGGGTTTTGCCGATCGACGGCTTCTGAATCTCCCTGGGGGTGGTGTTGAACAAATCTCAACCTAAACAAGTTTTCCAATTTGAAACCTAAACCTAATTTCCCAATTTTGAAACCTAAACCCTAATTTCCAAATTTGAGACCCAAACCCTAATTCTCTCTTAAGTCTGATACCATGTAAAATAAACGTAATGAATATACACTCTACTGTATTATTAGCTTAAAAGGATACATATTTATATACACTTGTAGTGTTCTAAACTAGGTAGGTGATCAATCTAAATTAGGATAGTAGTGATCCCTATAATCAAGGATTTTAATGTGATCTCTATCATTTAGGAAGTCATGTACATCTGTAACAATAACAAAAGCCAATCAACCCATGGATGAAGATGGAATATGTCACAACGTCTAGCATTAGGCCTTTTTGAGGCAACTTGTGAAATATCTCCAAAGCAATTTCAATCATTCCATTTTTACACAACCCATCAATGAGGCTGGCAATTTTAAACTAGTAGTTCTCCAAGTACAAAAAAATTTTGGTACCTCCAAAACACCATTCTCACATATCCCATCAACCAAATTATTATTGCAACTGAATCAGGTGCGACATTATAAAGTTTCATCTCATCAAATAGTTTCCATGCATCTCCAACTTTGTTTGATAGAAAAAAACTGGTTAACAAAGTGTTATACGTAAACACTGTCTGTTTAATTCCCTTTGAAATCATTCCCATGTAAAGACTGATAGCATTCTTTAATTTCCAAACCACTTTGAATAATCAATTCCAACAACCAATTAGCTTCCTCTATCTTCCTCTCCTTGCAAAACCCACTTACCATTGTATTATATGTCAGTAAATTAGGCTGCAAACCTTGATCTGCCATCTCAACAAACAAGCCTTTAGCCTCCTCCAAATTTCCCACAAAACACCAACCGTAAATTAGAGAGTTAAAAAAAACCACATCTGGCTTAATTCTCTTCCCCTTCATTTCCAAAAACAATTCATTTGCCTTATCTGCCAACCCATCTTAGCAAAAGCCATCTATAATACTACCATAAGAAACAATATCAGGCTTGCAGATAACACCCCCTTCACCATTACCAGCAACCATTTCTTCATGCAATCTAAGCACAACGCTAGTGTTCCCTGTCTGACACAACCGCTTAATTAATGTCCAATACATAAGCGCGTCAGGCCTGACCACAAACACAGCCATTTTCTTGAACAACTCCATAACCTCCAAACTCCTATTCTCTAAACAAAAACCTTTAATAAAAAAAGTGAAAGTCACAACATTTGGTCTTAAACCCCGCCTCGAAATCCTCCCAAAAACAACAAAACCATCAGGCTTACAACCCTTACTCTCCATAGAGATTAGCAGCTCCTTTGCATCATTAGATCTATGCAGCAAGCAATAACCATCCATCAAAGTTGTATAAGTAACTATGTCTGGTTGCAAACCTCTTTGAATCATTAATTCTAACAATCCATTAGCTTCCTCCATCTTCCCCTCCTTGCAAAGCCCACTTATCAGTGAATTATATGTCACCACATTAGGCTGCAAACCCCTTTGAATCATTAACTCAAAATACCCATTAGCTTCCTCCATCTTCCCCTCCTTGCAAATCCCACTTATCATTGTATTATACGTCACCACATTAGGCTGCAAACCCCTCTGAATCATTAATTCCAAATACCCATTAGCTTCTTCCATCTTCCCCTCTTTGCAAAACCCACTTATCACTGTATTATACATCACCACATTAGGCTGCAAACCTTGATCCACCATCTCTTCGTGTATCCTAAGCGCAATACTGGTATCACCTATTCTACACAACCCGTTAATCAAAGTCCCACATGTAGTCACGTTAGGCCTAACCCCAAACACAGCCGTTTTCTTGAACAACTCCACAGCTTCCATACTCCTATTCTCCAAACACAAACCTTTAATCAAAGAATTAAAAGTCACAACACTAGGGCTAGAACCCCACCTCAAAATCCTCCCAAAAACAACAAAACCATCACAAACTCGACCCACATTGCAAAAGCAATTAATCAAAATAGTCAAAGTAATTCAATCTGGCAACAACCCCATTGAATCCACTCGCTTGTAAATCAAATTAACGTCTTCATAAAACTTTTTTTTAGCCAGTGCTCCAAACAACTGGTTGAATGATGAAATTGGTGGTTTGGGTTGCATATGAATCATGTATCCAAAGAAATATCGTGCTTCATCAAGAGTGACATTACCTTCTTTACGATCATTTTTGAGGAATTTCTCCAGCTGGGTTACTTTAAGTACTAAATCTTGTGGAATAGTTGTAGTCACTTTACCCGGTTTTGTGAATAAAGAAGGAGAAGAAGAAAAACGACGAATCAAGCTTTTGAGCAACATTTCAGCAGCGCTGTTTGTGGATTATCTGGGTTTCAAGCTAAACATCATCTTTCGTTTTTATATATTTTTATGTACATTTTTATCTTAATTAAAATTGAAATTGGGGGCTTAATAGAAAATAGGTGGGGTCTATTTAGCATCACTCTTTAATCTTTATCATTTGGAAAATAGTATTTTGTACCTCTAGCACTTCTCTTGTCAGTTTATATATGTGATTAATTTTTTTTTATTAACATCATTTACACCTTAGAAGAAAATAGGTGAGTGCCTTTGGTTTAGGAAATATTGTATTATTGAGAATGTTAAATTAATTAAATGATAGATTACCTTGAGGGTACGTTTGGTTAAGGAAATATTGGATTACTGAGAATGGTGGATTACTAAAAAGTTAAATTATCTTAAAGATTACTAAAAATCTTTAGAAAAATGTGTTTGGTTAGTTGAATAAATTAGTGGGTATGTTATACTAATATATTTGGTTGGGAGAAATAAATTTGTGAACATTGTTTTTAAATTACTAAATTGCCCCTTTTTTAAATATTAATATAATATCATTTTTATTATTAATTTTTGAATAATTTTAATAACCCTAAACATTTCAATTTAGCTAAAACATCCCCACTTATATAAAACTTTAATTTATAACAAAATCACCCCCACCACCCCAAACCATTGCTCGCCACCGCCATTCACCGCCGGAAGTCATCTGGAGTCGTTGTGAGTAATTGAGAGACATTGGGAGGTTCCGATATGGTCATTTCAAGCCATATTGATGGCCGAAAATGCCATATCAGAGTAGATCTAACCATTAACAGCCATATCTATTTCAGCCAGAATAAATATGGTCGTTAAAGGCCATATTTCATCGAGATATGGCCAATAAAGGTCATGGATCTGGCCATAATAGATCTAGCCATTTCTAGCCAAATCTACTCCGATATGGACATTTTCGCTAGGAACAGCTATATTGGAGCCTCCTAGTGACAATGGGCTACTCACGGTGATTTCCAGCAACGGCCGACGGTGGTTTGGTGGGCAGCAGGTGGGTAGGGGTGGTGGGTTGGGTGGGCTGCAATTAGTTTTGAATTCAAGGGTAATTTTGCCCAAAAAGTTAATTAATTGGGGTTAAATAGTAAAAGTTAAATTCATGTAAATTAATTTAAAAATAAGGGTACTATTGTTCTAAAATTTTATTAATAAGAGATATAATTATAACAAAAATAAGATTACCTTGGTAGTCTTACAATACCTAAGAAAATAGAGGTTATCAGATTATCTCCAACATTACCAACAATAACAAGTATTGATATTAGAAGATTACCGGAATCTTATATTACTTGACAATCAAATGTAGTTATCAAGTAATCTAAGATGGCATAACCTCAGTAATCTCATATAACCCCCAACCAAATGCCCCCTAAAGATTATTAGAAATGTTTAAGAAAATGTGTTTAGTTAGGTTAGAATAAATTGATACGTATGTTATATTGGTTAGGTTGGAATAAACTGGTGGAAATGTTATATAGATTACTAAATTGTTTTCCTTTTTAAATATTAATATAATATTATTTTTATTATTTTTTTAATCATTTCTTTTAATGCCTTAAATTTGAAATTTTGCTAAAACATCCTAACCATATAAAAGTTTAATTTATGACAAAATCACCTCCATCCACCCAAGTCACTGCTGCTACTATCGGCAATCACCAAAACAACGTATGATCGATCGGATCTGGCCAGCTGTATGACAATCAGGTCGTGGATCTAGCCAGAATTCTTGCCATTTTTAGCCAGATATGTCACCGTTGTGCACCATGGACCTGGCCATTAACGACCAGATCCATTCCAGTGTCGTGGGCTAAAAATTTAGCCATTAATTGCTAGATCCATTGATCTGGCTGAAAACAGCCAAATCGGTGCATGACAGGCCATATCTGGCTGATCATGTGCATTTTGATGACTGTCTGCAACCGGCGGTGGTTGGCCAGCGGGTGGCAGTGGTCCTAGGTGGCCTACAATTTGTTTTAAATATAAAGGTATTATTGTCCAAAAACTTAATTAATTAAGGGTAAAATTGTAATGACAGGTTCATGTAAATTAATTTTAAAATAAGAGCATTTTTGTCTTAAATTTCTATTAATAAGAGATAAATTATAACAAAATTAACCTTATCATTTAATCTTAAAATACCTAATAAAATATAGGTAATCAGATAACCACTTATATAACCAACAATAATTATTATTGGTTTTAGAACATTACCAAAATCTTATATTGCTTGACAATCAAACGTAGTAATCTAAATAATATAAGATTTGGTTTTAGAAGATTACCGAATTTTTATATTGCTTGACAACCAAACGTGATAATCTAAGTAATATAAGATGACATTACCTCAATAACAAGGGTTAACCCCAACCAAATAGGAATGTTGAAAAGGATGTAAACATGCATGGAAAATTTTAAATTTTAATAAAGTAATTTATAAAAATGTGTATGCAAAATAATTAATTTATTTAAAAGCATATTGTAGTTTTTGTTTTTTTTATTCATTCATACTAATCAAGTAATACACTAAGTTTGTAAATATACCGTCAAAGATACAATAAATAATTATTTTGTTTGTACGTGTCATGGACGGACGAAAGTAAAATGAATATACTTGAATGTATTCGTTAGTAAAATGAATACACTTGAATGTATTCGTTATCCACTAATAAAATAAATGAATAATCATGAATATGATAAAGCATTACCATTGTTCATTTCGGAGTAGTTCCAGTTGTTGGACAAACTTGGTATATGAAAAAAGTAAATTTAATGATCATTATTTGCAAATCCAATTAGAGCATCTCCAAATGACTCTTTATATGATCCAAACTCTTTACTATAAAGAGTTTATCCATAGAAATAAAAGTCTAATGGATTCTTTATTCTTTAAATATAAATTAAAGAGTGAGTTTGACTTTCCATATTTAGAGAGTCAAATTTCAGTCTCTATCATAATTTTAAATAATAAATTGTAAGTTTTTATGCATTTTATTTATGATTTATCTAAGTTTCTTTCTTGAAAATGTAAATTTAATTCCAAACTCATCATAAGCAAAGAATCAATAATCAATTCATGTTTCTATGCTCTAAGTTGCACAAATATAAAGTTATAGGATCTTGAAACTTGATGAACTTTCACACACACACATATATATATATATATATATATATGATATATATATATATATATTATATATATATATTAAATATATATTATTATTATATATATATATATATATATAAGAAATACATACCTGATTCTATAGTTTGAAAACTAAAACTTGAATCTTGATTGAATCAAAAATAGGCAGTGTTTCTCTCCCGTTCTTCCCTTTCTATAATTGCAAAAACTCTTTTTGATGGAAAGAGAAAAATTTTAGCGTATATTGGAATAGAGAGAGGACCCACCTTTTATATTGCAGTTATTTTATTAACTGATGCAACATTTCCATCAAAGGTTAAAGACCAATATGCCCTTCAATTAAATTAATAACTACTAAACCTTATATTATATTTTATTCACATGGACCACTTTATAAGAATTATAAATAATTCTAACATTCTCCCACTTGGTCCATGTGTCATAAAAATAAAACTTTACAGCTTAGTAATTAAACATAATGCGTACAAAATAATAAATAATTAAAGGTCATATCTTAAATGGTTAAGATATAAACATTATAGAGTAGGAACCTATAAGGATCATGGCGGTCATATGTTATTAAATCAACATATTCCCTTCCATGTATCACTTTACAAATTCTATACTCAAAACAATCTATAATAATTCTTAATGGTCCAACAATTAATGCCCTTATCAAGGACAAATTCTGTCATCTTTATCATTCATGTATACAAAACAACATAATATAAAGAAACATACAACAGAATAACTTATATCAATCAGAAACAATACATCAAGAGCTCAGAGTGACTAAAAAAAAAGAGTTTTATGTACATAAAAACAAAACAATGTTAACAACATAATGTCAAGGAACATATACAATACATTATAAATCAATCATGACGGGCAATAATACCTATCCTTTCAATGTGCTCACTAAAGGTCTTAGGTGATAGCCCCTTAGTCAGCGGATCCGCTATCATAAAATTGGTGCTAATATGCTCAATAGTCACTCTTTGTTTCTGAACTTCTTCTTTAACGGCAAAGTATTTTAATTCCATATGTTTAGCACCTTTTGAATATTTGTCGTTTTTAGAAAAGAAGACTGTTGCGGCATTATCACAATAAATTTTCAGCGGCTCGGCAATACTATCGACAATCCCAAATCCTGAAATAAAATTCTGCAGCCATAATCCCTGAACTGTGGCCTCAAAGCATGCCACAAAGTCAGCCTCCATAGTGGAAACAGCAATGACAGATTGCTTTGCACTTTTCCATGAAACTGCTCCTCTAGCTAACATAAATACGTAGCCAAAAGTGGATTTCCTGGTGTCTAAACGACCAGCGAATTCTGAATCTGAATATCCAATTACCTCAAGATAATCGGATCTCTTATAGGTAAGCATATGATCCTTCGTCCCTTGTAAATATCTTAACACTTTCTTTGTAGCTCACCAATGATCTATTCCAGGATCACTTTGATATCTACCCAGCAAACCGACCGCAAAACTAATGTTAGGTCTGGTACATGTCTAAGCATACATTAAACTTCCGACAACTGATGCATAAGGAATATGCTCCATTTGCTTACATTCCAATTCAATCTGTGGGCATTGCTTAAGGCTCAACTTATCACCTTTCTGAATTGGAATTGGACTCGCAGAGCACTTATCCATTTTGTATCTCTCTAGAACTTTGTTGATATAAGCTTTTTGAGACAATCTCAACAATCCTTGTGATCTATCAGGAATAATTTAAATTCCAATTACATAGGATGCCTCGCCCATATCCTTCCTCTCAAAGTTCTTAGAGAGAAACTTCTTGGTTTCATACATCATGCCAAGATCATTAGTAGCAAGCAAAATGTCATCAACATACAAGACTAGAATTACAAATGCACTCCCACTGATTTTCATTTATATACACCGATCAATAGTGTTTTCCTTAAATCCGAAAGTAGTAATGGTATCATTGAACTTGAGGTACCACTGTCTGTAAGCTTGTTTTAATCCATATATAGATTTCTTTAATTTACTCACCATGTGTTCCTTCCCTTCAATTGGAAAACTATCAAGTTGTTCCATGTACACTTCTTCTTCTAAATCCCCATTTAGAAAGGCCGTTTTCACATCCATTTGATGAAGCTCTAGATCATAATGAGCTATCATTGCCATAATAATTCTAAACAAGTCCTTTGAGGAAACTGGCGAAAAAGTCTCGTTATAATCAACACCGTCTTTCTGAGTAAAACCTTTGGCAACAAGTCTGGCCTTGTACCATTCAATATTGCTATTAGAGTCGTGCTTGGTCTTAAAGACCCATTTACACCCGACTGTTCTACAACCTTCAGGCAATACTACAAGATCCCAGACTTCATTGTATTCCATTGATTTTAACTCTTCTTTCATGGCATCTAACCATTTATAGAATTATCACTTTTAAGGGCTTGTGAAACCGAAACTGGATCTGCTTCCATTCCTAAGTCAATTTCAGACTCTTGTAGATAAACCATATAATCATTAGAAATGACAGATCTCTTTTGTCTTTGAGATCTTCTTAATGCTATTTCTTATGGTTCATTTACTATTTCATGTGGTTCACCAACCATAGGTTCATTGATTACTAAATTATCAGGTAGTGTTTGCTCAATTACTTGTTGTTCTTGATTGTCATCAGAACGTCTGACAACTATAGGAACCACAACCTCAGTAGAAGTCATAGGCGCAGGGACCTGTACCCTGACTTCTTGAATATCCACTTTAGGTGCTCCCACTGGTTTCACCATTCTCAATAAACCTTGCATTTCCGGTCTTAACTATTCTTGTACTATGGCTAGGACAGTAAAAATAATACCTTTTAGATTTTTCTGGATAACCAATGAAAAAACCACTGGTCATTCTTGAGTCCAATTTCTTTTCATGTGGATTATAAACCTTGACTTCTGCTGGGCAACCCCAAACATGCAGGTGCCCCAAACTAGGTTTCCTTCCTGTCCACAATTCAAAAGGAGTCTTTGGAACTGCCTTACTAGGAACCCTATTTAATAAATATACAGCAGTCTTTAATGCATAAATCCACAATGATGAGGGTAATGAGGAATGACTTAACATACTCCTAACCATATCCATTAACGTTCGGTTACGCCTTTCTGCAACACCATTCTGTTGCGATGTCCCCGTCATTGTGTATTGGGCACATATGCCTTGACTTTCCAAGAATTTAGCAAATGGACTTAGACATTGTCCAGATTCATTGTATTTACCATAATATTCACCATCTCTATCTGATCATATTACTTTCACCTTTCTATCTAATTGCTTCTCAACTTCATTAATGAATACCTCTAGGATACTAACAGATTGAGATTTTTCATGCAATAAATAGATATATCCATAACGTGAAAGATCATCTATAAAAGTGATGAAATATCTTTCTCCACTAAAAGAAGGTACATCAAAAGGACCACATATATCAATGTGTATTAATTCAAGGAGTTCTGTTCTTCTTGTGGCTGCTTTCTTAATTGTGGATGTGGTTTGTTTTCCTTTGATACAATCCACACAGACGCCAAGATCAGTAAAGTCCAAATCAGGTAAAACTTCATCATTTACTAATCTTTGCATCCTTTCTCTTGATATATGGCCTAAATGCTTATGCCATAAATAAGCAGATTTCTCATCCATAGAAGCATGTTTTATTCCTATACTATGATGCAGGGTCAATAATATCTCAGCAAACAAATTATCAAGATGTAATTTGTACAATCCATCACAAAGCACACCAGAACCAATTAAACAATTATATTTAAATAAATTGAAACATCCATTCCCGAACTTAAAAGAATATCCTTCTAAATCAAGTTTAGATAAAGATATTAAATTACAGGATAACTCCTATACATAAAGAGTATTAAACAAATCTAAATGATGTCCAATATTTAAAATTAAACGATAGGTTCCAATGGCTTCAACTCGTGCTTTGACTCGATTCCCTATGTACACAAATCTTTCATTGTCATTTATGATCTGGGTCATAAGGAATCCCTGCAAAATATTAGAGATATGAGTGGTACATCTAGAATCAATCCACCAAGTATTATAAGGAACTTCCGATAAATATGATTGAAACATTCAAAAGCACTAGGCTTACCTTTCTTTTCGAACCATGCCTTACATTTTAGGCAGTCTCTTATATAGTGTCCAACTTTCTTACAAAAATGACACTTTTCTTTAGTCTGATCCTTCTTATGGACTTGGGCAAAAGACTCGTTAATCTTCAGTGGCCTTTTGCCCTTTCCATACTTCTTGTTGGATTTGTTCTTAAATCCAGACGAGCCCACAAGATTAACAAAATGAACTCCTTATTTCTTCAATCTTTCCTCTTCTTGAACTAACTTAGATTGAAGCTCAGTCATATTCCATTTATCTTTAATTGTGTTATAATTAATTTGAAATGGACTAAACTGAGGAGGTAAAGAGTTAATGACAAACTGAACAAGGAAACTTTCGTCCACAGACATTCCCATGTTTCTAATTTTTGCTACTATATTTGACATCTCAGTCACATGTTCATACATGCTATGAGAACCATCATATTTCATAGTGGTCAGCCTACTCATTAATGCCCCGTGCGGGACTTGTCAGCAGCCTCAGACTGAGAAGTCTCTTTGGCTAATCTCATAAATTCCCTAGCATATTCTGTGGTAGGAAGTGAGGCCTTGATTTCACTCACCACTGTCATCTGTAAATATTTCAGGCTCAATCTATTCGATCTCTCCCATTCCTTATGGAAAGACCTTTCTTCATCAGTGCTGTTCTCAGTGAGATAAACTGGTTTCTTTGTCATGAGTGCAAGGTCGAGATTTTGAACATCCAAGTAATACTAAACTTGTTCACTCCATTCATTATAATTGAACCCATTAAACTTAATAACAGATGAGGCATGAAGAGCAAATGCTGCAAGAACAAAAATTATGCTTACACACTAATGCTTTGAGTTTTATACTTTATACATAATTTTAGATTCAGATATTAAAATTTATTATCATTAAAACACAAATATATATTGAAAATCTCATTTGAAAGAAATAACAATATACGATAATTAATCTCAATTGATGCAATCTTTTATAAGTTTCCTTAATTGGTAATTAAATGTACTTTAGTTAGACATGTTTGTTATCTTTGGATTTACTAAACACAACTAATCAAGTACATTAATTAACCACGATTATGTTCATAATTATAGGATTAACTAATCTACCTTTGGGCGATCCTTAACTATCCTATAACATATAAACTTCAAATTACTCATGTCCAATACATTATGTCATCTCATTAAAGCATCTAATGATCATGAGTAATTGAATCTTATTTAATTTGATATCTATGGGATAAACATTTTAATTTGGCCACTTTGGTGACTAACAAATTATACATAATATAGTTATCAAACTCTTTCTCTAAAGAAAATTATACTTTAGAAACTTATACATATTTCATGTGCCTAAACGAACATTAAAGACAAAATTGGGTTGATTCGACCCTCATTGTTAATTTTGATTGTCACCTTTAACTTTGATGGTTAACCGTTCACTTTAACGGTTACTGTTAACTTTAACGGTTGGCCGTTAACTTTAACGATTGACCAGTTCAGTCAACGGTCTGAACCGGTTTAACTCGTTGACCGGTCTGGATCACCTTTTCGGATCCTAACGGGGCTGGTTTGACCCACTTTTCCAGTTCGGGTCAGCCCATTTAAACCTATTTGGGTTGACCCGTTTGTCCAAAAGGGCTTCTTTATGGGTTAAAAGTTGGGCTTCTTAATGGGTTATAGGTTTGGGCTTCTTTATGGGTTATTCTTAATGGATTTGAAAAATTGGCTCACTTAATAAGGCTTTAATCATTGGGTTGGATCAATATTTTATGGGTCAATTATTGACCCGAATTTCTGGAAAAATTAGGTAAACTTCATATTCCGAATTTCTGGAATTTTTTTTTTAATTGAAAAAAGCTTCTGGATTCTGAAAATTTGCATTTCAGAATAATTTTCCAGCCTTCCAATTTGTTAGTTTCTAAACCCAAACTACTTTTTTAAATCTATTTTACCCAAACCATTCCTATTTCACAATTTCCAAAAACCCAATTAATTTCTACATCCCATAAGAACCCTAAAAATAACTTAATGGAAAATTCATCAGTCTCTAAACCTGAAACTGCTCTGATACCACGTGTAAACTTAATTGCAAACTCATCATAAGCAAAGAATCAATAATCAAATCATGTTTCTATGCCCTAAGTTGCACAAATATAAAGTTATAGGATCTTGATGAACTTTCACACACACACACACACACACACACACACACACAAACACACACACACACATATATAAAAGAAATACAAACCTGATTCCATAGTTTGAAAATTAAAACTTGAATCTTGAATGAATCAAAAATAGGCAGTGTTTCTCTCCCTTTCTTCCCTTTCTATAATCGCAAAACTCTTTTTGATGGAAAGAGAAAAATTTAGCGTACATTGGAATAGAGAGAGGACCCACCTTTTATATTACAGTTATTTTATTAACTGATGCAACCTTTCCATCAAAGATTAAAGACCAATATGCCCTTCAATTAAATTAATAATTACTAAACCTTATATTATATTTAATTCTTATG